TCTCTCCCTCTCTCTCTCTTTAATCCGAAGAACGTGATTCCCCTTAGATTGCTATTTTAAATTATTAATTCAAAACAACTTTTAAGCAGGTAGAATCAGTCCCTAAACAAATTACAGAAGGGAAAGGTTGATAGATAAAGGCACTTTAAGTGTCAGTTTTTGTTGTGTATATTATTATGTATGCCATAAGTATATTATGTCTTTATATTATGTGTAAGATATTTCTGTTTATCTGTCACAGGCACTCAAGTGTTTAGCGGACCTCATTCGAGAGCAGAAAGGTGCTGAGCAATGAAGGATACGGAATTCAAGACTTGTGCAAAGCTGCAAGATTTAGAGCCTGAGGAAAAGAGACGCTGAATTCGGAGAAATCCATTAACTCTTGAAGACCAAAGCATACATAATATAATAAAATATGTCCTATCAGAAATTAGCCACACATTGCAAACCATCATTCCCAAAACAGAAGGATGAATTTACGTATTTCTTAGAATGCATGCTGTTGCTCGCCCTTTTTATGCAGAAAAACGTGCATGAATAAAGAAGTTATAATGTACTTCAATTCAGCGAATCTTCAAGCGTTGTGGACGGACCAGAATACGCGTCCTCAAAGGTTTAAACGTAGTCCCTTTGTTGTTACTACGGATAGACCACAGTTTTGGGTCGAAATATTGAATCCTAGCCTATTTTTTGTCCACAGAAGGAATCTTTAACCATGTTGGACTTTTTATTATTACGACATGTTGTATAATTCTCGCTCCTTACATCATTTTGTATTTGTTACTGTTTCGCCTGTTGCCTTTAAAGGTAAAAGTTATAAGATCATGTTTTTATGCATTGGGTTCCTCATGGTTCAGTGCTTGGTACAGCTTTGTTCATTATTTACAAATACTCGACCGTTTGTCCCAGAAATAGATTAGTGTTGTATAGATTATGATTTCTATGCTGATGAAGCCCAAATGCATTTTTTTTTTTACAATGTCTACAACTGAGATAACATCGTATATTTCTATTCCATTGTACAGTTACCTGAGGAGGTACATGAACCATCTGATCACTTGCATGTTATTACATGTTAGTATACATTTCTGTATTATCAAGACTTGGTTATTATATTTTTTATCTTCAGGGATCTCTCTGGGGAAAATGAAAGGAGTTCAGACTGTTTAAAACAATACTACGAGTTAAGTTTTACAGAAAATAAAGCTTGAATCTGTTACACATAATAACCTAATGGTGTTGATAGGGGGTGTTAAACATATACCATTCCTCAGGGGGTTTTTTTGTTTGTTGATTTTTTATTTTTTAATGTGAAAAATGCATAGTTCATCGGGGCTGCACGCTATATAGATGTCTAATAAAATTATCATGAAACAATTCTTTCGAATTTAGGCTGTTTGTAAGAATAAGAGAAAATGTTGAGCACTGTATCGTTACATAAGAATATTTTCTTACAAAATCTCCCGATCACCCGCCACTTATTCGAAAACCTTATCTTCGTTGTAGTCTTCTCTCTCCTCCTCCTCCTCTTCCTCCTCCTCCTCTTCCTCTTCCTCCTCTTCCTCCTCCTTCTCTTCCTCCTCCTCCTATTTCTCCTTCCCACTCCCACCCCCTTTCCTTATAGCAAGAATGATTAAGGATAGTATTTTCGAGACTGTACAAAACTGTTTATCTTGAATCCCGATACGAAAGGCAGAACGGCGGGTATTTAGTATCAGGGATTTATCTCTCTCTCTCTCTCTCTCTCTCTCTCTCTCTCTCTCTCTCTCTCTCTCTCTCTCTCTCTCTCTCTCCTTTAACACTTAGAAGTTAGCGGAAGGTTCTTTAAATTTAAGGACAGTAACAAAAGAGGATTGTGTGTAGTGGACAAGTGTGTATTTGTTCTAAGGGGAATGAATTCGACATCTGAATCAATGTGAAAAACCATACAGCTACCATTTTTGTTCTTATCAAAGGGTTGTCGTTTTGGTATAGCACAATTTTCTCTATGAGCTCTTAACTTCTGTAAGCTGGGTTGTTTTATTTTTAATTTCATAAACCTAGAAAAACAGAGGAATTTACCTTTATGATTCAAACGATTAAATTCCAAATACAAGGTGAATGAGAAAGTATTGGCTGCTCCCTCATTAACCACAACCCCACTTTCTTTTTCTCGCCAAAGAGGACAACCTCTTTGCCCTTTGGCCAAAAACCGAGGAAAGGGGAGAGCATTAATAACACGCACATCACAAGTGGTAGTACTGTATTACTTCCCGCTTCTACGAGATGGACAATGGCATGTGAAAATGTATTATAATTTATACGGAATATTACAGTTATTTGGTCTTGTTTTGGGGTTTTGTGTCCCCCCTATTCGGTCTAAAAGATTACATTGCAGATGTCGATGAAATGAGATGGGTCGAAAAAGTGACTAAATTAGGAAAAGTATGTAACATTTAAATTGGCGTAATACTGTCGCGTCAGTGTCTATAATGCGGTCAAAAATTCGTTGCGCGATTTATTGTCAAATATCTCCTCAACTATCGAACATAGGTTCTCCAATTTTTGCACAGTGACTTGTATCAATTTGCCTCAACAGATCAACATTTTTGTAAACACCTGCAAGCTGTATTCTAGAAAATTCCTTCATAAATACTAATAAAAAATCAAAGTGGGTGGTTTCTACAGATTTTTAAATGTTTACAGCTGGAGCAATATTGCTTTTAATAGCAAGCCCGTCATTTTTTTTAAAAATCGGGACATTATGCTTATTGAACGCATATTTTTTAGAGCCATTGGTACAAAAATGTGTTCACTATAACAATAATAACTTGTAACAAGTTTGCAAGTAAAATTGTCATTGATGAGCTGTGACGTAGGCCCAATGCGTAATCAAAATGTGTGTGAGAAGCGGGAAGTGCTGTGAACAATAGCATTTTACGTGTGACAGTGACAGAGATTTCAAGTATTTAATATAAATCGTATGAAAAATAATTTTTTAATCTAGCCCCAATTGTTCTGGAAAACTATGATTTAGTTAAGACAAAGTGATACGAACTGCTATGCAAAGTATGGAGGACATTGATTCACCCGTTAGAGAGATATTTGAGGATAAGTTGCACCACGAATTTTTTACCGCACTATAGGCTGGACGGCCGTCATAAGGTAGAACCGTGAAAACTGAATAGATTCGAAATAAACTCATCTTCGCCAGAGCGCAGAATGCAATGCACTGGACTAAAAAAGTAACTTCTTTGCTTGAGAGTGCTTTTAAGACCTCAGTACACACATGCCCTTTCAAATGTGAGCCTAGTACTGTTACGTCTTTTATCTACTTTGTTCTTTTTGTGTGTGTTTTAAAATTACAAGCATTAATCTATTTACCAGATAGAACGCTTTATGTACACTTCGACAAGAATGAGAGCTGGATAAAAAAGTAAGTAAGTACAGGGACAAGATACGACCTTTACACAACGTGTTTGTGACATGGGATCACTGGGTACTTGGGTTATACATCAGAGAGAAATGGCATTAGCATAATAGGGGTATTGCGTTTGTATATTGACTTACCAGGAACTAATGAGATTATTAACAGTGACACTCTGCAGTTACATATAGGCATGGGGAGTTGCTTTAGTAAGTCATAAAAAGTCGCCCCTTTTTGTTCCTTTTGTCTTGTTCGTTCTTTTAGCTTTTTTTTTTTTTTTTTTTTTTTAAATTCTTGTTACAGAAAGGGAGGGGGCAGCTGATACTCCCCGCAATGCTCTTTGATAATGGGAATGTTATAAGTAGAGCTGGGCGAGGAATCGATTCCGGAAACGAATCAAAGATAGTACATATCAAGATGGGCCACTCAGCCAAAAAAGTGTCCGCAGGAAGTTCGTTCTTTGCTTCAGATGGCGCTGCAGTCTGTTTGAAGCTTTCTTTCGTTTTTCCAGAAGAAGAATAGGAATAGCACCTCCTTGCATGCGCAGATCGACTGCTGTTCATCAGCAGTTCGGGTACGTTCAGTGCGGAGTTTTAGGGTTTTTAAAATTTTAATGACCTCTCGCCTTTCATTCTAAAGTCAAATTAAACGAAGAAAACAATCACCCTTTCCTCCGGAAGAGGTTTTTGTCAGCGTAACCATTTTAAAAAAGCGTTCTTCCGAAATTTATCCCCAAACTCGCTTGTTTCACTTTGATTTTTTAAAAACCCAAGTAGGGTAACTCTGTTCGCAAAGGGTGCGCTTTTGAGGACACTTTTTTAATTGGCTCAAAGAGAGAAGTGGCCCCTCTTGTTATGTAGACTCTTTGACCGATTTCCGCGGTTAGTGCTTCAGAGGAAAAGTTCCAATTCTTTTTCATGTATACCAACTACTGTTACCTATTACTATATTTATTTTCAAAAATTCTTTCTTTAAAAAAAACTTATTTTTGAAAAAAAAAAAGCTGGTGTTGGTGCCTCGCTGTGTTTTGAAATTGAGGTTACCCTAGATCCTGAAGCTGCTTGAAGCCGACTAGGTAACCGGAACCGGTTAGGTGTTGGATTCATCGGAAATAATTGCTACTTTGCAGGAAGTAATTGCTACTTTGCAGGAAGTAATTGCTACTTTGCAGGAAGTAATCATGTAATTGCCTAGGGGTCGGAACCGCTGGAAGAAATCACAACAGTGGAAAGAAATTGGATTCAGACTCGATTTCTACGATTTCTAGTTTGCAATAATCGGAACCGCCCGCCACTAGATAAGTAGCCCTGGTGACCCACTGTCAGTGTCACCATGACCGCGTGACATTATCCTTGGTGCAGAAGCTCATACTAGAATACACACGCAAAACTAACGTCATTTGAAACAAAGAGCATCCATTTGAAATTAATCATTTTCGAGTGGAATTTCCACATTTGGGGATGACAGAAACGTACTTAAACACTCATTTGGGGTAAATGTCGCCATTATGGTTCTGAAATTGATCCTTTCTGCTTTAATAACGACTAATATCTGAAGTGTGTGTGTGAACCATTTATTGGCGAAGGCCTACTTGTAAATCCAGCCCTTACACTGTTTCTTTCACGCAAAGCGCCTCGAAAACGTTAAAAAAATAAGAAAGAACTTTAACTTCCACTTTAATTTAAAATAGTGAAGAAATAATAACCATTGAAGTTCTTTTTTAATGCAGGGTGTAATAAAAGGACTAGTTAGAGGAGATTTCTGACGTAACTTTTGTGCACATCCTGTAAGAGATGGTATTCTATTTATTTTTCACTATTCACACTCCCCAATGACATGTCAAGCCATTTCTTGGTTTGAGACAGGGACAGGAGTGGAAGCTCAAAGAATTCGTTTCATATTTTTAATGAAGGTGTGTTACAGCCCCTCCAATACAATTAAGAACGTTAAAAGGAAACGAGTTTCGATCCTACTTATTAGGGTCAACCCGAGCTGAGAGGGATGCTATGTACAGTTATTTTGCATGCGCGGCGAAGCACATAAGCGTTGCACTGAAGATGCTGGTCAAATGTTTCGTGAACTAAGATTAAATGGAATTTTCACGGTTGCCTCTCCTAATTTCAGGGGTAAAGAAAAGATAAATGAAATCCCAACAGCCTAAAACTATCTTCTTTTTCTTGCAGCACTGCCTTTCAGCCAGTTTAGAGCTCTATGACTGCATGCGTGTCTGGAGAAATACAAAGATGTGTAGCATTTTTTTAAAGACACGTTGTTGGGTTGTTGGTTTTTTTTTGGGGGGGGGGTTCTCCCTATTCAGATTTTCCTGCGTCTTGTTTGGTCTATGTTTTTGTAGGCATTTAACTGCAATATGCACCAGTAACATAATAGGATACTAAAAGTGCCGAAAATAAGAGGTATTACAGCAAGAAAATGACAAACACAAACAGAAGGAGATAAAAGGGCGGTAGATGTTTGATTGGAAAGAAGAAACAAATCACACTACAACACCTGCTAAATACCCATCGCCTGGTTCTTCAGCAAATTATTTGGGTTGCTTCTCTTCACGTTGAGATGTCACTGAGCTGTCGTCGAATAAATCATTTTTTTGAAGCCTTAATTGATATTTCTTTAATAAAATAGGTGTTTTTTTATACACCCATCAAAACTATTTTGATCATTTTCCGACCAACCTGCAAGAGCCAACCCGGGCAGAGAGGGAAACAACATCCAAACCAAAAGGACGAGATGCTTGATCAAAATTAGCTCCCTAACCGCTATACCACAGCACCAGCTGACAGGCCTTAGTGTGCACTTTCCAATGATAGTGACCGGAATCAGTTCGTAAATAACTAGCTTTTTGAATGAAAGTTTGCAACTATAGTGCCATCTATGCCTGTCTTCACCTCTGAGGTGGAAAATAATAATATATAAAATATGAAATGATATGAAAATAATCGTGTATAGCGAGAACAATTGTACTTATTTATCCCGTCAAAAACATTTCTGTACTGCCAATTGGTGTCAGTGCATGTAGACGTTGATAAACGCTTTATCAAAAAATGAGGGCGGTGGGAACGTAATAATCATATCATTGTCACGCGGTCTGACCCTGTTCGCCCTAACCAGACGCCTACTCTGCCCGCCCCCAAACCGTTCCCTCCCGAAATGGAGTGTACTTTACAGGGCGTTGAATCCTTAGTAAGTGGCTTCTGAAAAGTGATACGAATTTTTTTTTTGATAAATAGTTTGCGAGATCAGTGAGACCCAAGGACATGAAAAGTTAGATAAATAGATAGTTGGAGCGATGAGAAGAGAGAGAGAGAGAGAGAGAGAGAGAGAGAGAGAGAGAGAGAGAGAGAGAGAGAGAGAGAGAGAGAGAGGGGGGGGAGACGGACAGAGCGAGGTAACAAAACTGAGAGAAAAAGAAAAAGAAGTACTAATGTGTAACAAATACGTTTATGCGATTTAAAAAGAAAAGCGTAAAATGCACGTATACGCTCGTTCAAAAGGAAAATTGAGCAAATAATATCCTTAGTAAGTAGTTTCTGAAAAGTGATGCGGATTTTTAAAAAATAATTTTCGAGATCAGTGAGATCCACGGATATGAAAAGTTAGATAAATAGATATTTAGATGGATTGATGGGGACAGAGAGAGAGAGAGAGAGAGAGGAAGAGAGAGAGAGAGAGAGAGAGAGAGAGAGAGAGAGAGAGAGAGAGAGAGAGAGGGGGGGGGGAGAGAGAGAGAGAGAGAGAGAGAGAGAGAGAGAGAGAGAGAAAGATTGTGTGAGAGAGACTGTGAGAGAGAGTGAAAGAGTGAGAGAAAGAAAGTATGAGAGAGACAAAAACAATTAAAGGCAGCAATAGAGATAAACACATACATATTCTCAACGATAGAAGCTCACTCATAAATAATTACAACTCGGAGGAAATCTCCATCTATGGTGAAGCGGTTATGCACTTAATCGTCGCGTGCTGTAGACCCAAGTTCGTCGATTTTTCGGCTGGGAAATTGTATCCCTCTCATTCCGTGTCGGCAAAGTCAAAGCCTGACTCCTAAATGATTTAAACTGTATCGATTAGGGCCTAAAACGACGGAAAAGGAATGGAGGGAGAAGGGAAAAACAGACAGACAGACAAACAGACCATTAGAACGACTGTGAGAGATGTAGGGAGGGAGCGAGAGAGAGAGAGAGAGAGAGGGAGAGAGAGAGAGAGAGAGAGAGAGAGAGAGAGAGAGAGAGATGGGGGAGGGGGGGTGAGGACAGAGCGAAGTAACAAAACTGAGAGAAAAAGAAAAAGAAATACGCCTATTCAAAAGGAAGATTGAGCAAATCATATCGTTATGAAATTCATCTTTTAAAAAAAAAAGTAAACGAACCCCTAATCGGTTACACCCACAAAATTGCATCTCAATAATTATCCCCATAAACGTCATGATCCCACATTACACTTGTCGTAATCATGTTATCAAGTTGTTAAAAGCTTGTGAATGTAGTTTACTGGTTATATACAATTTCAGTGTAGATTCAGTTTTTGGTTTTGAGCTCTGTTTTTCAGCTACTGGAAATGACGTATTGTCGACAATTCGTAATGCCAGTTGTTTATAATATTATAGCGTTTTGCTCCAGTCGTTGTGTAGACTGATGGAGTCTCATTTTGTGACACCTATCCATTTTGAATTGAATTGATAATATTTTATGACAATATCATGAAAACAAACTCGGGACTTCAAAAACTTTCACCACGCAAAACATAAAAAAACAGCTTATTAGCCAGCCACTGAGACATTACAGGCTTGTAAAACGGCCCAAAGTATGTTAAAAGCTGTGCAAAAATTATAGTCAGGTTAGTTCTGGAACAACAGAAAGCCATGTCGGCGTTTTACGTCCCCATTAATACCATTTAGATCATTTAGAAGGTGGGTTACGACCCTGCCTGTCAGGGCCAATTCGATCTGAGAAGAGTGCAAAGTCCAAGCAGAAAGATGTAGAAACTTAATTTTTAAAATATTGCTCACAAGGGAATCAAACTCAAGTCTCCTGCATGCGGTGGCGTAGCGGGTAACTGTTACAGCACAGAATATCATTATGCCAGCTCTACTGGAAAATCAGACCTCAAACATAAGTGAATTTTTTAAAACGGTGGTTCTTTTTAAAGAAAAAACAAATTATAATGCCTACTATCCCAGACTCGATGACCGCGAGGAAACAGTTAATAACTTCTTCAACTTTGCACAGATTTACGCCAATTTTGGCATGAATTATGTTTGATCATCTGAACGCCATAAGCTGTGCTTGAATTTTGAAAAGTCAGACGAACACCAAAGGATCAGCCATGTCTTGGGGTAACCCAGAAAAGGCCTATTGCGTTAAATAAAAGATACGTCGAATTCAAGTCCGAAAAGAAGCTTCAAGCCTTTTATGGCGAGCAGTTGGAGTTGATTACAGATCTAGATCTAGTGCACATTTTGAAAGAGCAATCTGGGAGTGGTACGAAAGTTCAATGTAAGAGAACTTCTGTCAGAAAGCCAGTAGGGAAGGAAATAAGCATTAACAAAATTGTATTAAATGTAGAATCAGTTCGCACGTCCGTAGAGACAACATCAATGAAGTCTGTCCGAGGACGTAGTAGTGAGCAAAGTCCAAAACTTACAGTAGCTGAAATCAAGAATTGAAAAAGAAACATTTTTGTCCACCAAGGCAGTGGAAGGTAAACATTAAAACGAAAATAAAAATAGTTCTACGGTTTTTAAAAAATGATACCAATAATACTATATGACTAAAAATTAACAAGTGCCGGATTCCACGGCGTCGTGACACAAATTATTGTGTGAACACACTCAGTGAGAGGGTATATTTGATGATAAAACCATGATCAGAAGGCTCAAAAGTATAAAGTCTATCAAGGCTACAAGTAAAAAACTCAAAAAAAGTTTTTAATGATCGTCATGATCACGGTTTATTTTTGTATATTTACACAAAGCTTGCAAACACACTTTCAGAAAACAATGACCCATTTTACTGTGGTCGCAGTTGTTTTCTGTTTTTGTCTAATGAGTTTCTGCTTGTGTTTTTATGTAGGCCTACATAATCCTTCACTTCTTTTGTACATTTTAAAGCCCGTCTTCTCTAGTGTGAACAGTACATGTCTTAGGGCTTTATTATGTCAAAACGTCACATCCTCCGTTATCACTTCCCATCGTTGCAGATCATTCTTGGACGACAACAGGCAGGGTAAGGCTGGCTCAAGTCAAACTCCACATGACATTCTTCACTGTCGAGGTGAACTGCCGAAGAGCCACAGCTGTGGGAGACGGGACAAAGAAACCAAAATGAAATTTATAAAGGTAACTCTATATTAATATGTTCTGTTGAGCTTTGAACCCTGTTAGATACTTGCAGAAATGTTTTTAAGTTGCAACAATGGTAGTTGTAGCTCTAGAAAGGGGGGGAATAGTAAAAAGCTTGTGAATGTAGTTTACTGGTTATATACAATTTCAGTGTAGATTCAGTTTTTGGTTTTGACCTCTGTTTTTCAGCTACTGGAAATGACGTATTGTCGACAATTCGTAATGCCAGTTGTTTATAATATTATGGCGTTTTGCTCCAGTCGTTATGTAGACTGATGGAGTCTCGTTTTGTGACACCTATCCATTTTGAATTGAATTGATGATATTTTATGACAATATCATGAAAACAAACTCGGGACTTCAAAAACTTTCACCACGCAAAACATAAAAAAAACAGCTTATTAGCCAGCCACTGAGACATTACAGGCTTGTAAAACGGCCCAAAGTATGTGAAAAGCTGTGCAAAAATTATAGTCAGGTTAGTTCTGGAACAACAGAAAGCCATGTCGGCGTTTTACGTCCCCATTAATACCATTTCGAGCTGAGAAGAGTGCAAAGTCCAAGCAGAAAGATGTAGAAACTTAATTTTTAAGATATTGCTCA